TCTCTCTAATTGGGAAGTTGCATCACTGCTGGCGGGGCTGTTGGAGACGAGGTTTCGATGCGCATCTCGAGAGCAGGCCTTGTTTTTATAGGCTGAGGCATTTGTGGCGTCGCCACGACATTCGTCTCTCCATCAAAGGGCGGGTCTATTGTGCAACTGTTCGTGCTGTACTGTTGTACGGATGCGAGATCCGGCCCATTCGTAAAGATGACTTGCGCAGGCTATCCGTCTTCGAGCACCGCTGCCTGAGGTCCATTGCCCGTGTGTGTTGGCAGCACCATGTAAGTAATGTGGAAGTTAGACAGCGTGTCTTGGGATGTGGAAGCTACTTGCTCGAGGACCTCATCTCACTGCATCAACTGCGGTGGTTGGAACACGTATTGCGCATGCCTGTCCAGCGTTACCCGCGTCGTGCGTTGTTTGCGGTTGCAGGACAGCGCGAAATAGACGGTCTGGTGGACAGCCTACAACATGGAGAAGCCGCATGAAAAAGCAGACAAAATAGTTGACCTCGGCCGGTTGTTGTTGACTACCTGGTTGGGGTCCGAGAGGTGGTGATACTTGCTGGTTGAAGACCTTGGAAGCCATGGCTCAAGATCGATGTCAATGGCGGAAGTGTGCATCGGTTTGTTGCGATGTCCCTTCTCCCTCCCCTAAAAAAGAATAAACTGAAAATCTTTCAAAACTGTGTGTGGTAAAATAAACAAAAAGCTTTTGTTGTTGCTCTTTTCTTATTTTTCATATTGTTTTCCTATTCAGCCATGATTCCGATGGCACAATATCTGTACCACAGCTTGTGTATTATACATATATATATCACAGGATAAGGCATTCCGAATTCTTTGAACCCACCATTAGTGATCGCGAGTTTTTGCTTTGAATTATGCAAAATAACTCCTATTTTCAATACATTTTATTCATTCAAACAACGGAATCGCCTATTTTCGAGTGAGGTTTGTTATTTAATCATGAGGTAATCTAAGTTAATGTGATGGTTGATATTGCTAGGCTTCGATGATTTCTTAACGTTTAATTCAAGTTCGGTTAACGTAGATCGTAAGCCGAGTTTTAAGTTAAATCGGTTCCGTGCTGTTGTCTTCCTTATCACCAATGCCGAACATCCACTTTCACACCTGTAAGTTTTGGAGAATGGGATCAGTATTTGCAGTGTCTGTTATACTGATGGATTTTCCCCACTAATATTTACACAAAATGTTACTGGTTGCGCTTTCTTGAAAGCTATTTTTCGCAAATTGTCTTCGCGAAATGCAAGGAATTGTGTCTTGGTTTCAGCTTAATTATCTGCAAATATTCATTCATCCACTGTAAATGGTCTTAGGCCCCAGGCATTTACTTGCTGAATTTCCATGTCGGAAAATTATATGCATACAGTCAATGCACTCACTATTTTGCCTCACATCCACATAAATCATGATAACTTCTGTAGTTAGCGAAATGGGCGACATTAACCTCATGTGAATTAGCCACTGAGCGGCCAACGACTGCCTAAGTCCAACGGACAACGATAGACAAGCGAGCCGATAGACGCAGCTTTTGGCATGGTTTCATTGCAGGCTTGTATTTGCCTTTAGGTAGCAACATTTATTACCTGCAATGGTCTAATATGCCAAGAAGTCATTAATGATTTGTCACTAATGCCTAATAATTGTTGATAAGGTAGTTAGTTAGATGATTCGATACTGATGATCTCATTAATAATTTTGGTTCGCCAATGAGCAATGACCCAATCCTTGTACATGTCTCTACTCCTATCGAAATCCTCTTTTATATCTTTGGGGGTAATTACCTCCTGGTTGGGAACCACTGTTCTAACACTTTCCGACAGTATACTTAAAGCGGTCGATCTACCCAGCTATTGAAGCCGCTTCTAGGTGCCTCCTATGATCAAATCTAGGTGACTAGATTATAAAGAGGCAGCCTGATTCGAAATCTGAAGATCACGCCGTTGCATACGCATCATCATCGTTAATACCCTTCGATTTTCCAAGGCGTGCTGTAAGAATGAACCGCCACTGTTCCAAGTCGTGGTTTCCAGTCTTCTGACCATCATGAGAAGAAAGTTCTGCACGCCACGGATGAAAATTGTGTTTAGGCGATCTTATCGGTTGTGTACCTGCTAGGAGTTTCTTTTCAATTGTGCTAAAACACTGCTGCCGTACGGCAGTAGGGCTCCTGTCACCAGTACAAATATCTTCTACAGGCGGCAGCCCAACAAAGGTATTGCGGTAAGATAAACTTATGGTAGACCAGACGTTAACAAGGACTTGAAATTTTGTTTTATTCCTTCATTCTTGACTATTTTCACTTATTACATGTCAAACGTCAAGAAATGGCTAGTCATAACCTTGACGTTCTTGTCATCTATCCACAGCATGAAACTAATTTTGAAACCGATACCTGTAGAAAGCGCGAGGCAAATTGGGAGAATTATTTAACTGTCTTGCCGAGAATAGTAATGACCTGAAGCCATTTAACTGGTAGCGTTGTCATAACTATCAACTGTTAGGGTAGATAATCTCTGAACTTGAGTAAAATGTACGTAAAGCTACACTTTCTATTTCCCAATATGTGTTAATTCGGAAACCAGAACAATTAACGGGGACACATAAACACTAATTTTGGCAGTCCAACCTCCATATCAACCAAAGATCGCCTCAATAGTAGTGCTTAGAGGCTGCGTGTCCTTTGAAACAAAATATTTTAACGTGTTTTGGGAAGGCCACTGATGAAGACAGACGTATGTACTTAACATCGGACAGACGGAAATGTTAAATTACCCTTGGAACCAGGAGTTTTGTACTGTTGGACTTGTGTGAAGTGAAAAAGCTGAGGGTGTTCCGATGTTCTCCGAACCACATATGCTATCTGCAGACGTTTTGATGCTAAACTGCATCACCTTATTGGTAAGGCTTTTAGGGCCACTTCCAGATTCAGGGGATAGCCAATAAGTTACTGCTGCAAATGTCAAGTTTCGATGAACTGCCGGCGGTCAGTCAAGCAATCACAATCTAACCCCGTTGGCTTCTGTCTTCCTCATTCACGCTTTCTATGTCTGAACTAAGATAAATTACTGGTTTGCCCTACACCGCAATCTCTAGCTTCAAATGTCTACTGATTTAGTTCTATCCAAGAATGCCAGGCTTCGACAAATTCACGCCCTTTCCGGCTTCTTGGTGTTTCGATTATCTTGACATTCCAGATGGAAGTTCTGTTTTCTTGCGTTCAATGGAACCACTATTGATAAGTTCTAGTAATGTTTGCAGATGACCAGGCTATGTTCGTGTACCTTTGTGCCAAGCGTCGGTCCTGTTTATCTCACATAGTATTTGTCACAGTTTTTACCAGCAATTATGTAACTGAGACAACTTGTTCCGTATGTCCATAGTATTAAGGAATTTGTTCTGTAACCATGGATTTCTGTGTTGTGTTCGGTTTTTTCTTTATGACAAATATATATATATATGTGTTGTAGATATTTCGCACATGGGATGCTCTGTCGCCTTTTTCAACTGCGGGGTTTTTAGAGTCATCAGTTGCCCCTAGAGTGACCTGCTTTTGAAGATTTTATCGAAAGTAAAACACCACCGCAGTTTATCGATACCTAACAGGTGTCCTTTTCTTGTACTTAGGAATGACGTTTCCTTCGCTTCCGCTTGATTACTTGTGGGCCACTTGCGCTATCAATGCTTCTTCCTTCATTCAGCTGCAGTACTAGTCAGAAGTTTGCACCATTATTTATTTCGGTTGGGCGACTGTGACTGGTCAGTCTAAGTGCAGTTACACTTGCCGTAGAAAGTTTCGCTTTTACTTGGCTCTTTAGAGTGACTGGGCAGCGTGCGACTCAAGCTATTCTTCGAGGTGATTCCCTTACGTATCAAGGGTACTGCAGCGTGTCTTGGCTCGTTTGAATAGATTTTGTACTCGGCTGCACCTGCGAATTGCAGGGTGACTGCTCCGATAATTCAGGATTTAGTCCGTATGCATCGGTTACAGCTCGAAGAGTCTCCAGTGCTTTATCAGCTGGTCCTCTCACTAAAACGTCTCAGAATGCTAGCTGGCTATCGTACTTGTCTCCGTTAGCGAGTTAATTACCCGTAACAGTGTCGTTTATTGGTAACTATGTTCCTTCCCTAATGCAGCATTTGAGAATGACTAAATTGTCATCTGCGCAACATATCCATTTTCGCCAATGCAACCGGGATGGCAGTTTCTCCTACTGTACGCACCACTGCTTCGGCCACCAGTCCAGATATCAATGATCCCATTAATGTATTTGTCAACTGTTTGTACGCTTGGTCCTTGAAGCTGGGATTTTGATGGCTCCAGTCTGATTGCTCTGAGACCGTGTTGTTCTAGTATGGCCACGTTTGTTACGCCATTGTTATCATTGCCACTGTTACGTCACGGCAACAACGAAACACCTTATCCGATTTAGCCACACCAACACTAGCCAGGAAAATGTTTTGAAATGTATTACCACATCTTTACCCTTTGTCTAAACACCATACAGAAAAAAGTTTCGGATCTAGGTAGGTTTCAATGGTAATAATTCAACATTTAGCGCTTCAAATCAATTATCTTTTGGAAAAACTGGTGGATTTTCTTTATCAAAATGCTACTTGGTTATCAGTGCCACTTCTGTTATCTGTTGTCAACTCAGATTGCCTGGTGAGCTTCAGTACGATTTCAATCTTTGGGATTCTAATCAGTTATATCACTTTGCAGAACTACTTAGTACATGCAACCATGCTTAAGCCGCACGAACAATTCCGACAACCGTGATATATAAATAACAGATAGCCGGAATTTAGGGTCCTACATAGGTAGGTGTAGGACGTTGTACAGTTGGTCTTTTTCTCAACATGGCTGCCTGCAAAATCACATATTAGCTAGTCAAGGTACACTTCATTTTTTCGCTTGTTACGTGTCAGTACCAACCAACGAATTTACCAACTCTTCCACCTTTCTATTTTAATCAGCCAATTACGATGAGGAGGATGATAAAGTTGGGAAGCTGCCCAACCATGCTGACAGAACCCCTCTATCGGACACATCGAGCGGGTACACGCCAACGAATAAGCTAATGACTGATCCATTCTTTGGTACCGTTGCAGGCAGACTAGCGCAAGAAATACATGACGAATTCTTGGTGTGCAAAATCTGCTTCGAAAGTTACGTCGACCCAAAATGCTTGTCCTGCCTGCACACATTTTGTGCCAAATGTATTGAGCGCCATATCTCTGCCGAGGTAACTTACAACAAATATACAGACTATAGGGATTTCACATGCCCTTTGTGTCGTAAGCGAACTCAGTTACCCCTTGGCGGTGTAAAGCGGTTACCAGACAACTTTCTAATTTCCGGTCTGACGGAATTGGTGATGCGACAACGTGCCTCGTCGCATTCCTCGTCTTCCATCACTCTGACATCCGGACAAAATGGTAGAGGCACTGGAGATGGACTTGAGACTCAACCAAACTGGATAAACGGCGAAGAAAGCTACGATCGAGTAAACGCGTTGCCTCGCTTGTCCCGCAGTGGAATCACATACGGAGAATGCGAGATATGTGCCCAAGTGGGTTGGTTGGACCGCGGTCACTCTACTGAACCTGTGAGCAAACCAACAGGAAACAGCGATTCAGGACGAGCTAGCTCCGCCACTCTAAGTCAGACCCCAGTGGCTTCCTCCAAATGTCTGGACTGTAATAAGCTTTTATGCGCCCAATGCGTTCAACGACATCGTAACACCAGAGTTACAAAGGACCATGCCACCTACGATTTACAAGCTGGTAAAGATATCGAATGCAAAGAACATCCAGGGGAAAGCGTCCGTTTCTACTGTGAGGCTTGTTCTACCTGCATCTGTGTACTATGCACCTTCAACGAGCACAGAGAGCATGAAGTGACTAGTTTTGGTGAGGCAGTAGCTTTTGTTCGAGCCGAGCTGGAATCCCACATGGATCGTGCATTTCACCGAATTTCCAAGGCGAAAGCCAGTCTTGGAGCGCTGACTGAAGTGTCTGACCTAGTTCACAGTTTGGAACGTCAAATCCATGAGACATCTGAGCAGTTCATTGAAGTGGTAAGTCGTTTGATATTAAACTACGTGTTTTTGTACCGTCTACTAACCTAAGTGTCCAAAACTGATTTAATTTAGTCCGATAATGGAGACACTGGTTTAAATTAAGACGTTGCGTTCCAGCACACAAAGTTTGATACATGTGAACCAAAATCTTATGTGCATCTAGTTAGAAAAGTTTCTATCCAGCTCAATACTGAATAAGTTAAATGTTCACTCAACCCCAGAGCTGCAGCACCCATTTCCTCGTATTTAGTTTATCTCACCGTGGATTGTCGGCTAGCGATTCAACTTTTGCTTTAATAATATGTGTTTTACTGCCACGTCCATTGTGGTCCTGGAGCCCTCAAACAGCTTGCCTGAGTCCAATGCAGCTTGCTTACAGGTAGGTTTTCAATGTTTACCATCATTTGGTAGATGATACAGACCTTGTATACGCACAAGGCGCAATCACGTGTAGGCATAGTTACCTTGCAGTTCCGCTGAGAGGATGATCGACCCCAACTCTAACCGTATCACTCGTTTCGACTAATAACGGAAACGCTACAAGTAGTGTTTTACATGGCGGCTATCTGGCATACCACGTTACCCCTACTCCGGAGTTACTATCAGGTGAAATGACGCGCCAAGATTATGTTGCTTTAGTGACTTAGGAGCTCAGGAGCAGCATAATCATAAGGACTCCATACAGATTCTGTTTCGCTTATTGAACCCTTACTGCAAGCTATTTTATTAGAGCTCTTAAGATCACTTCAAAAGCATAGCCTCTTGTTCACTGGTTGTTGTCCCAGATTGGGTGATCGATAGCGGTTGGAGGTAACCAGCGTTGTACCTAAATATTCACTCGCCCTGGGTGCATACGACAATTTCTTCACTTGACTCTTGACCAGCCGATTATTGTGCGCACATGCTTTGGGTGGTGCGCGCTTGACACCTAGACGTACATTAAGAAAAGATCCACTTTTGAATTTTGATAATTTTAACAAATGTATCTAAGTATCTCTCGAGTAATACTAGATCCCTCACCAGTACTCGCTTTCCCGCAAATAGATAGAATTGCCTATTATTCTCTGTTCAAATAGGCAGCAGAGCGATTAGGAGTTACAAAATGAGTCCTCTGTAGAATTGACAGTTTGCAATTTCGTGGCCTTCACAAGAACTCTGTGTAGAATTCGCTCCAAGTACTCAGAAAGGTCTATTGAACCCACCGAAAGGTCGGCCACACGGCAGATGTTTGTAACTAATTGAACAATAATTTAGTGAGCATGAAATTTAGCTTATCTTTCAAAACTTTTGAGCAACTGCTAACTAAAACGGCAGGTAATTGGGATAATAATGAGAAATTCTTTTATTCCTCGAGTAGTATCGGCAACAAGGCCTCTTCTTTTTCCTTCTCCCTGTTTTATAACTAATTTTTGACCGGATACGTGTGACAACAACATGCGAGCCCATGTTGCGGTGTTCCAGCGCTTTCAGAGCTTGGCGAATTGGCCAAAACCTATCACCAAACGTGGTGACCCTGTCAGAATGTACTAAACGGTGACACTGGTTTGGAATATTTGTCTATCTCGATTTATAATGCCAGTAATCGCACTTATCTTAACTGGTCTTCTACTGGGGACCGTGAAAAGTTGAAGGAATACTACTGGCCTCAGAATTATTGTTGATAGTTGCGGTAATATCTGAAAATTCGCTTATACGAAAGCTACATTCTCAGGGGATGTACCATCCGCTATCCCATTCGCTTAACTGGCTCCGGTATGTGTTGTTTATTTCAATCTACTTGGTTGTGGTTACCACACTCCTGAACTGTTACAATATTGGCATGTAGTCACTTGAAGATTCTAACTCTTTGTATTGGGTAACCAAGTTAAGCCGTTACGCGTTCATTCAACAACCAAAACTGAATCCTTTTTCTACGGAGGCTAATCAAACCAAGTTCGCTTTTAGTACTGGGGACGCAACTGCGGCTCACACTTCTCTTAATCCGTAGGGTCCACCATAAAGGCAGATAAGATGCTCCACACTGGAAACTGAGCGTAGAGACTTCAACGCTGACTTCCGTGGCTGCTGGCAGCTCCGGTGATGTCCACTGTAGTTGAATTACTTAGTGGTTTGACTTTAACTGCAACACGGGCGAACCTTCCCTGGGAAAATAAAATATATCTTGTGTTCCTGGTAGACGGTTGTCTAAGATATCGCTGATTATTATTGAGGTCAAACGTTTCACGTATTTCGCATAACTCTGACAATCTCGCTCCACGCGATAATATGCAAGCACTAACGGGAACGTCTGCGCCATTTGTTTTGTGTGGCATGGTGACAAATGGATGCCGCCTTATAAATGTTACAACAGACCAATGAAGGCCAAACATTTTCTCTTACCCTTGAAAGTATTTGAAGAGGAACGACTAACTAGTTTACAGCTTCGCCGTTATACATTTCGTTATGCTAATGGCGAGCATAAATTTTTTGAAACTTACCCACAATTTGGCACATTTAAACCGAGCAAATGCATCAGGTACATGTGTTTTGAATGTCTGCGTGAACAGAAACGTACAAAGATAATGAAACTCTGATTGCAGAAGACCACTGACTGTCATCGAGAAACCTCAGAATGCACTGAGATATGACATTCACTGGTAACAGCTTGGGATCGGAAAGCGCACAATCTGTCCATAAATGCAGCAGCCAAGTAACTATAGAATGATTACATGGAAAACATACACCGTTTTCTGCGAGTCTGTTAAAACAACAAAGGCTACTCAGTTACTAGCATATAAACTACCTTGTGTCCTTACTTATCAAGAGCAATGGTGACGCATCACGCTGTAGAATATTTTATATTCTTTATTTTTCAACTAAAAGCAGTCAAGTTACGAATGCTTCCTTTATGCATCCATTAAAGTTGAGTTTTCACGTCTGCTTGTTGGTTATACAAGAAAACTGAGCTTAGCTTTCATCTTTTGTTTGTGGATTTGCTGAATAATAGTTTCGCATCATTTTCCTCACGCAATACATCAGGAACGAACGTAAGTTACCTAAACGTTTTAGTTTTAATATTTTTGCAAGTGTAATCTATGGTATCTGCACATACAGCTATCTACGCCAGATTTCACACACTTAGTTTAGACTGGATTCTCATCACTCTAATTCGTGACAAGCCCTGTTCCTCCCGAGTTGTCAGATATTAGATTGATTCATCCATCACGCCTTACCTGTTCATCATTCCAAATTTGGCGAGCATTTATTAACCAGTCGATTCAGTTCCCAGTAGCAAAGCATTCCGCACACAGCGGTAATACTGTCAAACTTCTATCGGTGTTATCTTTTGCTGGGAGGATGTAGGTTGCCACCATTATAGACGAATGGAACACCACCGGCCATTATTACCAATGCAGCCCACGTGTACACGGAGCGTACTAAATTTTGGAGGTGTGTTCATGTGGGTGCTGAACTACGCCCACCTAGTCAACAGCATCTGGATAAATGGACTGTCAGTAGATAGTGTTTACTTGCTCTTTGTGACATGTTTGCGCAGTCAGCCTGGTCGTTACTGTTAGTGAACGTAACTAGTGGAATGGTGTATGTCCAAGAAGTGAGTGAGATTCGGCTGCTTCTTCGGGCCCTGTGTGGTAGATACAAAGTTAATTACTGGCAACAGACGCCGTGTATCACGGTGAACTAGCACATCAGCTAGGAACTTATTTCGTGCATGCCAATCGCACAACAGGTTAAGGGTGCTCTCTCTCGAAGAAAACGAGAGAGACGGTAGATGAAGACCACCTTGTTTAAGTTATGCAGTAAATTGAGAGCAACATTTTGACCATAATGCGTCTGCACCACTGTATACTAGGCTGTTCGGGAACTTCAGACCTGTTGCGTAAGGTCACTACCTGACTTCACTCGTACAATAGTATCTTAAGAGCTAGTTCTGGTCAAAGCTTAAAGGAATCAAATGTAGATATGTTTAGCGGACCATATTGCTACTGCGGATCCCCTTAAGCGCTGTACCATGTTTCAACAAAAACATGCATGGAATACTCGTTTTTGATGTAGCGGTTGCTGTGGTGCCTGTGCTATAATGTCATTCACCATGCTGTGTGTGTTAAAAGATGCCTACTACATTGGTTTCAAATGAGGAACATGCCGGTACAACCAGTAATTGGCTTCGAACACTCCACTCGGGTCACTGAACAGTAAGCATTATCCATTGAAATTGGAATCAAACATTACCACCTATGATATTAAATAATTGCAAAGTGTTAGGGGGTCGTCCCTCATGTCCATGTGCGCTGTGGTAACAGAGGGTTTGAATTCGGCAGTAGCATCCGAATTTCAGAAATAATATAACCGACCGACAGCAACTTAGCAACCACCTTGCTTCCAATTGCGTTACACTCCTGGTAGACATTAAACAACTGTATGTCAGCACGAAATGCTCCAGTGGACTAACAGCTATTTTTCTTGTCGTAAATCCATACAAGTGCAAAAATGCTGAAGCGAAAATGTTTTGTGAATGTGATGCCCGTATCCATGGCGCAAAGCACTGCGTGTAGGATCTGAAAGCAAATTAACTTCTCCGCTACCAAATTTTTCATTTTTCCTGTGTTATTGGATACGCTGTACAACTAAATCTAGTTGGACAGCATTCCGAAAGTACAGAGCAGTCGTTGAGCAACTGGATACTCATTGGTTTCCCAGATCCATGTTAGGGAAAGGTCGAGAAAGAGGAACATCTTAAGATCTTGGGTTATTCTGTAGCACGATCATGAAAGAACTGGTGTAAGTACAAGTTCACCGGTTACCTATATCGTACAGGTTAGGAGACCCCCTAATGTACTGCATCTATTGTGTTGCGAAAACTGTCCTTGGCTGATCTGTCTATGGCTTTGCCAGTTTCAAAATGGCGCAGAAACCACACCAGACAGCCATAAGTCCTTCATGCGCACAGAAAGGCACTAAGCTATCATTTGGCCAGCATTCCCCGACTTCGCCCTCTG